AGAAAAATCATTTTCGTAAGACCTACTAAAAATTTTATGACACATTATAAGAGATTAACCAAACAATGGCTTGAATTAGTAACCCTCCATAAATGGCACGTTCCTTTGCAAGTGTTGCTGCACCCACCAGAATAAAATAGGGTCGTATTTAAAACCAAAGTAGTGGTAGAGTTTTACCAAGTTATTATTAAAAAAAAATCTGCTTTATTTAATAATAACTTGTTAATAACCACCCGTTTTTTTTAAATTTCTTAAAATACTTGACTACATCAAAAACTATTAAAATATTTCAAGTATTTTAGACAAAAAGAAAGTAAATAATCCGGCCCTGTTAAAAACTGACCTGTTTCAGGGTCCGGGTGGGTTCCACTAATTTATGATTTGTTTACCCTCTGGTTTACTCTTAACAATACCGCATTTAACTTAAAAGTAATAAAATTTTTAGTAGGTCTTAGCAAAATGATATTAGTATATAAATATTTTTTCTGAATACAAATGTGAGTTATAGGTACGAACTTTTTGATAGGTCTTTTATTTCTTTATTCAATCATATTTGCAATCGGTACTTAACTGTTATAGTTTTTGAAATATGTCACTTTTTTTGTCAAAAATTTTATTTGCAGGGGTCTGTTTAACAAATCACAGCTCTTGAACCCTTTGCGATAAGTAAATAATCTCTTTTGTATTCAATAACCAAAGGTTTTAAGAATGTTTTAAGATAGTTTGAAATTGTCAAATATCAAATTTTAAGACTAATACGATTTTTATCAGTTATCAAAAAACGACTATAACTCAGTTTTTTTTTATAATGAAATGACCCTATTTTCTCAACGGCAAACTAAAAGAAATTTGGAAAAATTTTATTTTTAAACAACATTTTTTATAGTACAAACCTTACACCGCACTAATGATTTATTTCGTAAAATAATTACTTTATGCAAAAAATACATGGCGCCATACTTTTTGTTCACCTCGTATACAGAGTGAGTTTGAAGTAAGATTCATCTAAAAATTAAAAATTATTTTTTCTATTTCGGTGTTAGAATAAGTCTATTCCAGCACCCAAATGACGTCATTTGCGTGCTGGAATAAGTCGTTCGCGGTAATTTAATTTTAGTGACGGACTTTCTTCACAATTCATTTTAAAATGTGAAAATATGAATTATTTTCATTTTGTACAGCCGCCTAAAATTATTCCACATACCTAAATATCGCCAACCGTCGCAAAATTCTCTAAAAAAAAATTAAATTTTTGTTTTKTAATTTATAAAATGATATACAGCGGCAAAATAGAAAAAATAGTATAAAGCACTTGTTGCAGAAGGTTCTTCAAGCACTCATTTGTTACTTCACTCGCCGCTACGCGGCTCGGAATTTCCAATTTGTGCTTGAATAAGATACCTTCTGCAACTTGTACTTTAATATACTATTATTGAAGTTTTTTTTGGTAACTAATGTCTTAAATTTCTAATGTCTTAAAGAAAAAAAAAGAAAAGTTGAAAAGCTCGATTAGTAAGGCATCCAATTATTATAAAAGAAAACTCATATCTATAAAAAAAAGTGATAAACGTCATGACGCTAATTTTTCTTCAAAATTTGTCGTAAAATTGGATTAAATGCGTGTCTTGCCAAAAATGGTTCCAACCTACACATTACATTGGAAAACTAAATATAAGAAAAAGAACATAAAAAGAAGAAGTAGTGTCTCACCCTTAATGTGGCATTTCTTATTTTTCATAGATTATTAAGGTTTGATTATAATAATAATAAAATTATTATCCAATATGAATATACAGCGTGTTCCGTTTTTATTGTTACAAACTTAAACAGGTGATAGAATATTTAATTTTAAGACAACACCCCCTGAAAGAGATGCGTTTTTAATGGGGTTTTCCCACTGTTGCAGAATAGATAAAATTACAAGAATTAGTACAGCTGATTACTTTTAAACACCTGAACGAATTTAAAGATCAGTTGTCGAATTTTTTAATCATGAGTTTCTTAAACGGTGATACAAATTTAATTTTTAATTTTTATCCTCTTTATGGTCTGTAAGACAAATTGTAAACTGATTTTACTCAAAAGCGGTAAGTTTTATCGAAAAAACGCAAGAGACCTCTTTTGTGTGAAAAACTATGAAATTTAGAATGTGGTGGCTGAAATAGTTAGGGTACTTTTTACCCTAAACCCCCCAGTTTAGGACGCCCCTAAGTAAAAATTTCGACATTTATCTTTGAATTCATTTGGGTGTATAAAGGTTATCAGTTGTACCAAATTTTGTAATTTTGTCCACGATGGTTTCTGAAATATTGGAAAAAATCTATTAAAAGATGCACCTTTTTCAGGGGATGTGGCTCCCTTAGGTATATAAAATTTTTCGATATATGTTTATAGGAAACTTTTATCTTAAAATTGAATATTCTATCACCTGGTTAAATTTGTAACATTAAAAATGGAACACCCTGTATATTTTATTGAGCCATTAAAAAAATAGATGGCATCTTTGCGTGATTTATCCTATTCGGCGATACGAATGATCCCACAAGTAATATGCTAAATCACACATTATTGTACTACATATTTTAATTTTTTTCTTAAATAAAAAAAATTTATGTGTTACTTTAACTTCGCTCTAAATAATATGTATGTTCAACCTGCAAACATATTGCATTTCATTTCAGAAAACGTCTTTGGAGAAAAAAAATTACAGACATGATATCCTGAGACATGGGATTTGTGTTAAAAGGACGTGTCCGAATGTAGCAGTGGATGATTTTACTAAAAACACACTTCAGTTTATAGAAAATTTGGAAAATTGCTACAATCTTAAATATAAACATATGGAACTTGAAGGAAAAATCACAAAAATTCGTTGTGAAACAAATGAATCTCCATATCCAATCTCTTCTTTTGATGTAGTATTTGCGTAAGTAATAAAACTAATAAAATGATAATCTTTTCTTGTAATAGTTATTTTTCTAAGAAAGGAGCCCAAAAATTGTGCCAATGTATCTAAAGCATATTACCAGTTATTATCCATACAGATTTTTATTGGTAGACAAAAATAAGTCGATAAATGCTATATTTTTTATACCAACATTTAGTTTTTGGGTAATGACGTTATCAATATTTTTTTTTAATGGCAACCGACATTTTTGTTTACTGTTTCCGATCTTTGATACATTATGTTGGTGTAACTTGCAGCACTTGAGAATAAGAATAATTACGAATATTGAGAACATTTAAAAACAATATAACTTTTCACATAAGAAAAAAATCAATAAATAACAGCAAAAAAATACAAAAGTAGTTAATGTCAATAAAAACTGTAAAGAAAATAGTACATGTTCAAAGTTGCAAAATGCTTCAGGTTGTTGAGTTTTGAAAAATAATACACCACTGTTAAATTAAAAAAAAAAATAATTGAAAACAATTTAGGAAAATTGACTTTTTTGAAATTTTGAATGTTCGTTAATCGATTACTGAATACCGTTTGAGGATATCAACTTAATTAATGCAACTAATTTGAAATGAGTAAAATTAGGGTTTGCAAAAGCTAAATGGTCTCAAAATTAGTCAGTCGGTTCATGATTTTTTACAAATTTTAAAAAAGAACAACAAAAATTTATTTTTTTTTTCAAATTTAACGAGTAAAATTGTAGAAAAGGTGAAAAAAATATTGTTTTTCATTTTGATCACACAATGTTCAGAAACAATTATTTCTTTTAATTCTTTTGCAAAGCTTTGATCAATCGGTCCGATAAAACAAACACAAAAAAAGTTACTTTTTTCTCTGTTAAATCAATGTTGTAAGTGGAAAATTTTTAAAAAGTCCTAAAAACACGTTGTCGACAATTTATTCCAATTTTTAAAACTATCCTTCCATTCTCTGTGCGGTCATTGATTACTGAGATACCGTTGATCAGAGACAAAAGATTCTTTTTTATTAAAAGTCAAATATTTCAGCGACAAATTGACGTAAACAGAACATAAAAAATTGTAGCTAAATGAACAAGCTGTCCGGCCCATGCATTGATCTAACTGATACAAATTTCCCCTAGTCTGTAAACTAAAAAAAAATTAAAAAAATTACAACATTTTTCTCGCGCTATTTCTTAGGATTGCGTAATAACCGTAGCTCAGAAAAATTTTTGCCAAAAGATAGATCTCAAGACTAGAAACTTGAAGCTTCAAAACAGATTTTTTTAAATAATATATAAAAAGTAAATGTAGAATCTTTTGTCGTTTTAAAGTATTTGGGATAATAAGAAATCTTTTTTCAATGAGTTTTTCACTGCAAACCTTAATTTTAATCTTGAAAAATAGAAAAACAAAATACATAAAATAACATAAACGATGAATTTGATTCATTTTCTCGAAGAATAATAGAAAATTTAAGACATCTTTGAATTAAAAGTGATTTTAAAGAATGCAACGTTACTAAACAATGTTAGAATAAATACGAAATTCCAAATACTATAGTTATTATTATTTTTTACCTTAAACAAGAGTACATTATTTTAAGTACATTATTTTAAAATTTTATTAAAAATTTCAATGGGTGCATCCGCCCCGAAGCACCCATGTATTCGGCGCCTGTGTTTCTACAGGGTGTTCCGTTTTTATGGTTACAAATTAAACAGGTGATAGAATATTCAATTTTAAGACAAAAGTTTTCTACGAATATGTATCAAAAAATCTTACGTAAGCGAGCTACACCTCCTGAAAGAGATGCGTTTTTCATGGGGTTTTCCCACTATTGCAGAATAAATAAAATTATAAGAGTTAGTACAGCTGGTTACTTTTAAACACCTGAACGAATTTAAAGATCAGTTGTCGAAATTTTTAAACACGGGTTTCTTAAACGTTGATACAAATTTAATTTTTAATTTTTATCCTCTTTATGGTCTGTAAGACAAATTGTAAACTGATTTTACTCAAAAACGGTAAGTTTTATCGAAAAAACGCAAGAGACTTCTTTTGTGTGAAAAACTATGAAATTTAGAATTTGGTGGCTGAAAATGGCAAAAACCAATCGCCAAAATAGTTAGGGTACTTTTTACCCTAAACCCCCCACTTTAGGACGCCCCTAAGTAAAAATTTCGACATTTTATTTTTGAATTCATTTGAGTGTATAAAGGTTATCAGTTGTACCAAATTTTGTAATTTTATCCACGATGGTTTCTGAAATATTGGAAAAAATCTATTAAAAAATGCACCCCTTTCAGGGGATGTGGCTCCCTTATATAAAATTTCTCGATATATGTTTATAGGAAACTTTTATCTTAAAATTTAATATTCTATCACCTGATTAAATTTGTAACAATAAAAATGGAACACCCTGTATATCTTTCTGTTGATTATAAAAAAAAGAACTACTACTCTTAATATATTTTTTAGTGTATTTCTCATCACATTTATACTACTTGTGCTGGTGGCGTGGATCTACGACATATTTGCTACTCCAAACTTTAAAGACCCAAAATTTTCCAAGTCTAAATGTAAGTAAATGTACCAATATAATATTTTATTACAATCTGTGTTGTAGTTGGTATGTTTATCTCAACATTTTCTCTAACACAAAATTGGCACCGGCTTAATAACATAGATCTCGACAATCCTGATATTAGATCATTACGTTGTATTCAAGGTATTCGTTTTTTCTGCATGTATAACGTGATCAGTGCACATTGTGTGGCTGCAAATCTAGCAATTCCAGTTGTTAACACAAGATATACAGAAGAGGTTTTATTTAACAAAAATTAAACTTATGTTTGTTAAAAGTGAAATTGCAGATTTCAGAACGTGTAGCTGATCGTTGGATAGGAAGTGGTTCTAGACATGCCATTCTTCAAACTTACTTTATGTTGTCATCCTGGCTATTAACGTATCAGTTTTTTGTAGACCATGAAAAGAAGGAAAAAGTGGAATTTTCTTATTTAGTTAATTCATTTGTAAAGAGATATTTTAGGTTAATTTTCTTATCATTATTTTTTTGTTTATAATTATTTATTTTTAGAATAACTCCTACTTTGCTAATACTTGTTGGTTGGTGTGCCACGTGGTTCGTACATATGGCAAGAGGACCGTTTTGGGACGATATAATTGGACATTCCTACAGAAATTGTCGCGCAAATTGGTGGAGTAATCCTATATATTTGAACAATTTTATACATCCAATCGATATGGTAAAGAGTATCTTGTTTTATTAATTGATATACTAGCTATATTATTTTAGTGTCAACCTTCGCTGTGGTATATAGCTGTAGACACACAATACTATGTAGTTGGGTTATTTCTTTTATGGCTGATATGGAAGTATCAAAAAAAAAWTGCAATAATCTTGGGGTGTCTTTGGATAATACATGTGTTGGATACATATTTTAAAGTATATAGCTCAAAAATAATTTTACCGATTTATCCCGAGTAAGAATTTTTGACATAAAAACTGTTCCAACAATTACCATTTTAAGATTATTCTACAACATGAAGTTTATACTTTGGGATCATGCTGGTTCAGTAGCTAAAGCCCCGATTGCTAATATGTCAGGTTTAGTCGCTGGTTTAGGTTTTGGATACACTTATTATAAATGTAGAAATAAAAAACTATTTACCAAAAGGGTAAGTATTGTTTTTATGTTTTATTCTTATATGAGTAAGCAGGATAAAATATTATAACTTGTTATAGTACAATTTGAAAGATAAAGTGCTACTACCAATTATAGTACTTTTTTTGAGTCTCTGTAATCAGACCACAACACTCTATTTAATTTTTTTGGTTTCAGATTCATGTTATTATATGGTGGTTTGCAAGTCTTGGTGTCTCACTATTAATAATTCCAATTCCGGCACTATTTAAAAAAACAACTATATTTTCAAATAATCCTGATGTAAATTTTGCTATATATGCATGTTTAAGTAGAAGTATATACATTTTTGGAACAGGATTTTTTATCTTCGGCATGACACACGGACAAGGACGTAAGTAACAATTCTCTTGTGACACAAATTATAATTCCTTACTTTACAAAATCAAATATAGAATTAGTTCACAAAAAATAACGAAAAATTACAAAAGTACAAAAAAATCATGTGAGTTTTAAGTTTATTGTTTATATTTTTTGTGATAGTTGTTATTTGATCATATCCGTGCTGTCCCCATGCTTGTTAAGGCTAGGCTAAAAATCCATGTTATTAAATTAACAGGCGTTGTTACGCATGTTGCTATACAAAAAACACTCTCGCTGGGATACTTGCGTCAAGTTTGACATTAAGATTTTCAACAATTTTGCCAAAATCTTTTAGTATCACAAAAAAAGTAAAACACCACACGGCCGAAATAGTTATTTACGTATCAAGAGCTGTTAAAAAAGCCATAACGAGCGAGAAAATTGTTTGAAGCCCGACACAGGAAGACCTTCATCATCCCGCGGACATTATGTCCCTTAACACGTCCTACGTTTTTCTTCCTACAACATGAAACGATGAACATTAAATAACAGACGTCTGTTATTTGCTTTTTATCGGCCTTGTACCGTTATAGTTATTTTTGTTGTTCTATGTTGTTATGGTATAAATAACATTCAACAATATACAGTCATTAAGCTGTCAATAATACCCTAGTTACACAGAGGGCCAAGATGCCATATCGACCGAGGGAGTCGTCCCGCACTGTTATGGTCCATAACAGCACGTGGTTCAACGTTTTTGATGGTACCTACTAAATTACGATATTTAAAAAAATTACATTTCAAGTTCTGAAACGTCAACATTTGCAGGGCATAAAAAAATGCGGGATATTAAAACTTCTTAATAGCCCTGGATTTTACTAAGGGGTTATTGACAGCTTAAAGGTTGTAAATGGTTGAATGTTATTCATACTAAAACAACTATGATTTCTATTATTATTATTTTTAGATATAATAAGATCAATCAATGAGTGGCCCCCAATGTATGTCTTAGGACGCCTAACTTACAGTGCATATCTTCTACATGTTCCCATACAGTTGATGAAAGCAGGTTTTAAAAGAGGACCGAACTATTTGAATGACTTTATTTTGGTAAAAACATTTAACGATTAGAAATTAGTTCTACTAAACACATTTTTATTTTAAGAATTGGGAGATGCTTTCAGATCTTTTCCTTTCCTACATGGCAGCGTTGTTTTTGACACTCTTCTTTGAACTACCCATTAATGAATTAAAAAAAAACTTTACTTCTATGCTAAAAAACCGAAGAAAACATCAAATTACATCTTATATCAAAAAAACTGAAAAGTGTGAATAAACAAGTGAAGTTTACCATCAATTGTTGTTAATTTATTTTGATTATTATGAAATCCAACTTTACTGGATAAAAATACATTAAAATCATATTTGTTAAAACAGCAAAAACCAAACAAAACCGTTTAATAATTTTCGGACTTTTAAACATTCACTAATATGCAATAAAATTATTAATAATGCCGCGGTTATATCTTCAGTTCACTTTTTTTGCTCTCTTTACATTTATTTTATCTGTCAGATCCTTGTAAAAAAAAGTTGTTTTCTCTAATAAAATTTCACCGTTGCTCCTAAACGGCCAAGTCTGAATTTCACAAAACCACAGAATATTAACTTATTTATTAGAAGCAAGACTCGGGTGCAAGTTCGAGTGTTCAGTAGTGCACTTAAAATATGTGCATTAAAAATGTTTCTTGAAATGTGTAAAATAAAAATATATAAAAAAAAAAATTCAAACATCATTCAAGTGACAATTTTATGCAGGTAGGTACCATAAAAGCTAAAGTGTCCAATTATGTCCAAGCAACAATAACAATAATTTTTGCCGCTTCGGCAGTGAAAAGTCTTTTGCAGCCTCGACAGCACACTACTGAAGCAGTTTCAGCGACTTCAAGGGGTGTGCAATCTATGTCTGACATGGGAAAAACTAGAAAATTAGTTCTGATGCTAAAGAATTTGAAACTAGAAAATTAGATCTCATGCAAAAGAATTTTAAAATATTTAGTAAAACAAAATGCAGCCACTTTTTGACACACCGAGTTTTTTTCTGATTGTTTATAACGTAACTATAGAATTTTTTTTCAGAGCAGACTAAAATAACCACTGAAACAAGATCCCGAAACTTAGAATTACTTTTATTTTTAATTAATTCAAAAAATTTTTTTGTCGTGATTTGAAAAAAAAATAGTAGGTATACGTTATGCTAAAATGACTTCATATAGCGCGACTGAAATTAGCTACCTTGCTAGGTCGGCAGTTAAACTTCAGTCTTGCCAAATAAAAATTTACTTTAGCTCCTCATAACATAAAATACTATTTTCTCTTATAGGTATGTATTAATAATGTTGTTATTTATTCCATAAATACGAGTAGAAGTATTATTACACCTTTATTCTAGAAATGATTACAATGGTCTTCATTCGATTTAATTTTTTTTATCTTACTCGATATAATAATGGTCATCTGGTAAGTTTTTTTTATCGCATTGATGTCTTTTTTATTTTATTAGTAAAAAAATTAATAACATAAATTTATCGATGTACCTACCTACAAAGGTCTATAAAGTCATCCGAGTCGTCTTCATATGCTGCATCTTCGACTTCAACTTAAACATTGAAAATCAAATTACAGTCTTTATATAGATTTTCGTTTAAATGTTTGCACCCTATTTCATCCCGTTATATGTTGGTTTTTGAAAAGTGTCTGATTAGTGCACTTCTACATTCCCTAAGAAAAATATTTTCCAAACTCATGTTTTTATCTTTGTACAGCCGGTGACTTTGAAGATGTCATGCCAATAAACGGAGCCCGGCATTTGGGATCACTACCCCGACCGCAACTTATATAACTTGGAAATTATAACGAATTTTTAAAAACAAAATTTTTATTCGAACAGACAGAGATTCGGCATTACAATGTTGCATCTTCTAATACATTACTTCAATTTATATACAAATTTTACGTACTTTTACTGATAACAGTGATAACTAATTATTTGTATTATATTTACGTTCCCTTTGAACTCTAACATAACTCGCAACCATCCTTAGCCATAAATCACCGTAAACTTGAGAACACGAAAGAATTTTACTTTTTAACTTGAATATCGTACAACTGCTTAAAATTTGATTTGATTATGTTTTTAGTAAGAAATCACTTTGTTTACGAAAACCATAGCTGATGAAACTAATTCTAATTAATGTGATATCATTTAATTCGTATTGTTAATCAAATTTAACCTCGAATTAAAAAATTTGATTGCCCCTAAAAACTGCTTTGACCATTGAATTCGTAAACTTTTTTTTAGAATTATAAATAAACAAATCATTAGTATACTAAGAGGGAGTGACTCCAATTATTATTGTCTGAGATCGGTAACTCCTTAGTAACGTTCGTGATGCTTACGAAATTTTTTGCGCGATTTATTTTTTAGTTTTTTTTTTAAATAAAATATCTAACAAATTTACTTACCGTTCTAGAATGGCAAAATACTTTGGCGACTACTTTAAGTACTTACGGACGTGTTTGGGATAGTAACGAGTAAATACAACTTACAGTCTTGAAAACAGACGTGATAAACAATCAGATACAGCTCAATCGCATAAAAATGTTTATTTATATAATTATAATTTAATATTTCGTGTAATAACCATTATTGTCCGGTGAGCGGGCAGGCCAACGTAATAATTAGAACTCAGGATGGTCGACAAACCAATTTTCGATCATATTTGTTTTATGTAAACTTGTAAAGSATAATTTTCTGGAATTCTAATGAATGTGATGTCATTTGATTTGTATTGTGATTCCGGCTTTCGGCATCGGTACTTCAACCGCAGTTTAAAATCATTTGAGGGTTGTAAATTTCGACACCCTATTTTTTAAGTCTAAAACAACTCCTTTTCTAGCAAATTTAAAAGTCACTTTGTTTATGAAACCCATGCTTGATCAATGAAACCAATTTTAATGAAAATGTTATTTAATTGGCATTGCCAAAATAAACCCGCATGGAATTCATCCTTTCTTTTAATTTATTACATTTCCTATTGAAGAAAAAAGCTCCCAATAACAATAAAGATTAGGACACCAAGGCCAACCCTTGTTGGATTTTCTCAATATTAGTAATACAGGTGAATAAAAAGTATGGAACCAAACGTTTTTTGCTTAAACTATTTATTTTTTGAAAAATCTCATTGATGAGTGATAAAGTACTATAAAAATGTGATGATTTAACAAGAATAAAATTTTTCGAAATTTCCTTTTGTTTTTGAGTTCTACAAAAAAAAAATATTTTTTTAAATGGCGACCCACTATAAAATCATTTTTCTCATAAAAGCTATACTCTAAGGGTTA